ATTGGTGTAATAACTATTTCTTTCCAAACAATTATGAATTCAAATATAATCTGTCTGTATTTCCTGCAGGCAAAGCGACACCATGGGCCACATAGCGAGCCAGGGCGAGGAGGCCAACCGGCGGGGGATCTTCACCAGGGTCAAGTGCTTCCCTCTGTATTCTCTCCTCCTCGCCATCAACACCACGAAGGTCGACCTCCTCTCCCTCGACGTAGAAGGAGCAGAGCTGCAGGTAGAGTATCAGCGGCAGTAGAAGCTGTGGGTTGGGAACGACTCGGGTGTGACAATAACGCGAAATTACAAATGATGAAATTATGTGTACAATCCAAGCCCGAGCTTTATGAAGTAATAAAATACATTCAGTATCGATTAGTTTCTAAATTAAGCACTTCTGAGAAAAGTATAAATATGAATAAATCGAGTTATTAACCCTTTTGTCCGCAGGTACTGAAGACGCTTCCCTGGGAGAAGGTGAAGATTCAGGTGCTGTGCATCGAGCACCGCCACATCCCCGAGGGCAGTGAGGCCCTAAGAGCCTACCTGGAGGAACGAGGCTACGCCCTGCACACTTCCGTTGGCGATGATTACATCTTCGTCAGGAAAGACCTGGAGAAGATCCCACAAGAAGACCTGCTGTAGAGGGTCGCACATCTCGTGGGGTTACGTAGATCTCATGGACAGCAACTCTGTGTGATTGTGTTCACGGCCAGATAGTTTGTGTGATACTCGCGAAGAACTACTTAACTTACTATGCACATGCGTGTAAAGTATGGTGATTTGTGTCTGTATACGAGAAGCCGCATAATGTCTCCTCTTTACCGCTTTCACAGGCTGACTTTTTTGACTGTTAGAGCGGCATAAGGTTGTGAATACTCTGTGATAGTTCGCGACGATTTTCATAAATGTACACTTTTCATATCCATTTTTGTACGCATTTTCTTAATAAACAGACTTAATCCGATCTGAGTGAAATGCAACGACTGTGATCAAGCAAAATCAGATCCATAGCCTATACGAAGTTAATACTTACTATCTGTATCGTTTTTAGCATGATATAGGTTTTAATTATATATTTATATGGACGGCGTGAACTGTGCCGAAATTAAATCAGATGTCTTCATTGATTGTTTCATGTAAATATATTTAAGGAATTTTTCAGGTACATAAATTGTAGTCCATTATTTTTCCTTGTCGAATGATGATTCATTGCTTCAAAAATGCATTTCTATATTGTTTTTTTCTTTATTTCTTATTGAGGCGAAGATGCACTTGAAAGGTTGAGGATCATTGGCCATATACAATATATCATGCCTATATATTTCAAATCATTATCACCACCAACCATTTGCAGATCAAATGATTATCATAACCAATCTATCAGTTGTCAGTTCCTTAGCATCAACATGAATATTGCCAAATGTGTCACCAATCTGACACCGTGTCATCAATCGTGACCAACCTGCCACAAGTACATTTTCGTCTCGATGCAAAAAACAACAACAAAAAAAAACGGAGCATAATAGGATTTCTAAAGCTGCTTGCGCCATTTTTCTGCGGAAGTGCCTTGTTCAACTTCATGGTCACAGCAATACAGAAGTGCCTTGACAGGACACGAGGGATTGATGTCAATATTGTCAAGTAATAAGAATCGTAGGGGGTGGGGATGTGTGGTAGAGAAATACCACAGGGGAAGTCAACACACTTGGCAGTGCCAGAGCTTCTTGTGGAAAAGGAAATGGAACTCGATAATTTTCATTACATACTGATATCCGTATGGTGTCATCTTTTTTACTAGTTTCGGTTTTTTGAAAAAGTATATCAGATATAGATATTCGTTTTACCAAATCTGCGGCAGACGAAACCATTCTTTTATATTTATCTGTATGTCTGTTCTATGTTTGTTTATCGGTCCTGTGTCAGTGTATCTGTTTGTCTGTCTGTCAGTCTCTCTCTCTCTCTCTCTCTCTCTCTCTCTCTCTTCTCTCTCTGCTCTCTGTCTGTCTATTTGTCTTTTTTTCTCTCCCCTCTCACTATCTCTCTCATTTTGCCTCTCTCTCCCCTCTCCCACTCATCTCCTTCTTCCTTTAGATATTTGTATTTGTATATCCGACCGTATCTTTTTGTATGTACGTATCTCTCTCTCTGTCTGTCTGTCTCTCTCTCTTTCACACACACACACTTTGTACGTGTTTTTTTTGTGTGTAGGGGGGGGGTTACGTGTGTGAATATGTGTTTGTCTGTATGTATTCTTTTGCGGGTACACATTATACACATCCGTATGGCTGTATGCTTGCGTTAATCCGCTTACATTTATGTTAATATTGTTGTATACAGAACCTGACGTGTAACTTTTATTTCCATGTGTTACAATCATTTTCATAACCGAGATGATGAACCCAGCTGTGGTGATTATGTCTTTCATTACGTTTCTTGTCAGTGCGCTGTTCCCAGTCTTTTAAACCGAGAGATGGAGGAAATTTTCAGAAATAAAACCTAAACACCTAAATAAAATCATTTATTGTTCCACAATACCGAGGATTAACAGACCTCGGAGACAACTACTAATAAATATCAACAGGAATAAATAACTAATAACAATAAGTTAAATCCACACGGGGGTAACAAGAATAAATAATAAATGTATAACAAGGAGCACTGGGAGAATCTCTGTCACACACACGCCCATTTGTACAGAGGCCGCCGTGTTGTCTGGGTCAGGGTCCCTTGTACAGTCGCCGCTACAGGAACGGCCAGTGCATGAAAGACGGACGACGCTTTTCATGTCATGCGAACACCTGGAAAACTATTTACATGTGCATTTTACCCTTCCCGGTTTACTATTTCTTTTACGTTTCTTTTTTTCTCTCTCTGTATTCTTTTTGTTTTGTTTTTATTTTACAAGGGATTGTGAGATTATTTATTCTCCTCACATCCAGTGAAGAATTTGACATATGATTAATACATTTTCGATCACTGAGTCAGGTACACACTTTTCTTTCTCATGCATCTTTAGCCAAAAGAAAAAAAATTAACTCCGTATAGAAGCAAAAATACGGGCTTAGTCTTTCATAACCCAACACCTTGGCCAGGCGAGGAGATAAGCTGTGCAGTTAAGTACCAATAATCGCTGGCCTTGAGAAAAAAAGAAATCAGCCAAAATTGATTTCCCACGAAAGTCCATGACAATCTCGCGGATCCTTCGATTCACCGGGTTTCGTCAGTGAAGATCCGGTCCCCGTATAGGTGGGTGTTCCCAAGAGACGCAGTGATCCGGACACAGCAGCAGGCACACACACACACGCACACACTTTAACAAACACGGTAAAATGGCCCTCCCCTGAGACTATTTCTTCGGGAGGTTTAACTATTACTTCTTGGCCCATCCCCTGGTGAGGACTCCTCGCTACCAGGAGGAGGACGGAGGTATGGAGGAGGAGGTGGGGAGGAGCTTGGAGAGACACGCGCCGGGCCTCTTATTTGCCAGCGCCGACGGCCACCTCGTTGACGATCTCCAGGGCTTTGGGGCCGTCACACCTGCGGGAGGAAGGGCGGTTACTGTCGTACTTCGGTGCAAGAAGTCCACTCGCTTCACTAGCTAAAGATGGACAGCCTTGATTTTTGAGGACGCTTTCTTGGTTCTGCATGAAGCTTCAAATTTCACAAAGTTCCAGTAAAACATAAAAACATTGTTGTGAGAGTAAAGTAATAAGCATACAAGGATTGATATACTTTATATACTGTGTTCAACACATTTAATTACATTTGTACATAACCCAAAGCTGAATGAAGCTGATCGACGTTAAGTATGAGAGAAACGAAATACTATGATAAAATCCAACCTAGTGAAAGCGACATCACATTCCGCAGTGGAAATACGGAACACGACCTCGCCAAAAGAGCAGAGACTCACTTGGGGAACATGATGTCACACTGGAGGGTCTCCCAAGCGGTGACAGCTCGCCAGACCTCGTTGATGGTGTCGATGTTGCGGGTGTCCTTCTCAGTCAGCACCTTCAGGCCAACGCTGAAAAAAAAAGAAATACGAGAAGAGTTAGTAGATGGTCCAGAAAACAATCTTTTTCTCTAAGTGTAAACGTAACTTTACTGCTGGAGCCATAAATGCCTGCGGTTTTCGGAAGGGAAACTAACTGTGCTTTAACTCTTGGAGATAAAATCGATACTTGTAATGTTTACAGAGATAATTCTCTCCTTTCGTATTTTCTATACAACAATCGCCAATTCCTTAAACATGTTAGTCCTAGTATTGAGGAAAGAAAAAAGAAAGCGTTGAGAAAGTACCCAGTCTAGCGTTATCAGATTATGGCGTGGCATTATACTCCCGCGGTACAGCTTGCAACCTCAATGGTCATATACGCGCGTGCTTACTCATTCCTTTGCTCATTAATGCACGATCTTTATCACTGCACAGACCTGCAGTTACCGGAGTCACCGCCAAGGGACATTGCACAGATCCGCTATCGCCGCCGTCATCGCCGTCATTCACATCCCGTTATCCGAAGCTTCGAGACTGACTGACGAAGCGGCCATGACATGAGGCCGATGAATGGCAGGCCGCGGACACACACCAGTCCCCCCCCCTCCCCTGCATGCTCGCCGTCATGCAGTGGATTCCTCATGGTTGCGGTTCTGTTTGTGTTTGCTTTGTCATGTTGAGTTTGGCATAAAATACATCATAAATATGCGGGGAATGGCAACGGCTGTGTGGGTTTCCGCAACGGTGTTTTACAACAGATCTAGGAGCTGTTGATAGTAGGTGATAGTAGGCCTATTTTTTTTTTTTACCAAACTAATGCAATACAATTTTCTACGGTTGCGTCTCAAATAACTATATATTTTAGAAACCAACTTTACACATCATAGGAGAAAAAATAACGGAAAATGTAGAAGATAGAAAAAAATCTAGAGTTAAGAAGTTAATAACCTATATACTGCTTCTATAATGATAAAACAAGTGATAGCACTATAATGGACAGCCATTGTACACATACGCATTAAGTGAAAGTAATATAAGTAAACGTGCACACATAAGCTTGTCTAATTCTGTATCTGTTTGTAGAGACATGCATGTATATATTGTATGTATGTATTTATGTAGTATGTCTATGTATATATGTATGTATGTATGTATGTATGGTTAATGTATGTATGTATGTATGTATGTATGTATGTATGTATGTATGTATGTATGTTATGTATGTATGTATGTATGTATTATATATATATAATATATATATAATATATTATATATTATATATATATATATATATATATATATATATTATATCTGTGGGCGTACATGTTGTTGTACGTTGTTGTATTATATTATTATAAGTATGTATGTATGTACGTATGCATTTACCATAGGGATATAGATATACATATAACTAGTCATGCAGTTATAATAATAAGGATAGAAGTTGTTATACTGATAAAAGAAACAGACACAAACCCTAATTAAACATATATGTAAGTAGGTCGTGCATAGATAGATAGATAATAGATAGACTAGAGAGATGAGGAGAATGAGGGAATGAGAAGAGTGAGGAGGGAGAGGAAGAGAGAAGAGAAAGAGGAGAAAGGCGAGAAAGAGAGAAATGAGAGAAGAATAGAGAGATGAGAACAGGAGAGAAGGATTGGAGAAGAAGAGAGGAGAGAGAGAGAGAGAGGAGAGAGGAGAGAGAGGAGAGAGAGGAAGAGAGAGACGAGAGAACAGAGAGAGGAGAGAGCCGAGAGATGAGAGAAGAGGAGAGACGAGAGAGAAGAGAGAATAGGGAGAGAGACAAGAGAGAGAGACGAAGAGAGAGAGAGAGAGAGAGAGAGAGAGAGAGAGAGAGAGAGAGAAGAGAGAGAAGGAGAAGAGAGGAGAGGAGGGAGAGAGAGGAGGGAGGGAGAGGAGAGAGAGAGAGAGATGAGAGAGAGCAGAGAGAGAGGAGAGAGGAGAGAAAGGAGAGAAGAATGAGAGAGAGAGAGAGAGAGAGAGAAAGAGAAGGAGAGAGCGGAAGAGAGAAGAGGGAGGAGAGAAAGGAGAGAGAGAAAGAGAGGAGGATAGACAGAGAGAGGAGAGAGACGAGACGAGAGAGAGAGAGAGAGAGAGAGAGAGAGAGAGAGAGAGAGGAGAAGAGAGAAGAGAGAGAAGAGGGAACAGAGAGAGCGAGGGGGGTATATGCACCACCACTACGAGGCACAATCCCCGTTACGTGGCCAAGGGTCCTTTAAACATTGGCGGGAAGGGGGGGGGGGGAGAGGAGAAGAGCTGGGCAGTGAAGATGCTGTACTTCTCTACTTGTTTATTTATCTGTCAGTCTTTCCGTCTGTCTCCATCTGCTTCTCTCTCTTTCTGACTATCTCTGTGGGTCTGTCTGTCTGCATATCTGTCTGTTTAACTGTTTCTGTCTCGATCTGTCAGTGTCTCTCTCTTTCCTTTTTTTTCATTTTTCTCTCTCTCTCAGTTACCACTCTGTCTGTCTCTCTCTTTCTCTCCTTCTTTCTTTATCTCATTCTCTCTCTCTCAGTCACCACTGTCTTTCTCTTTCTGTCTGTCTGTCTGTCTCTCTCCCTCCTTCCCTCAACGAGACTTCCTAACTTCCTTTTCGACAGCATGATACTTGATTCATGAAATCACCGCCAGTCACTGATTACCATTCATCTCAGTCCATCCATCATCTCCCCGACAGTCATCCCAGCATGACGTAATACATCTCGAAAACAACGACTATATTTTTTTCCCCGGCGATGCCCTGGCCGCAAAGCCCATTAATCATTTATAAACGGCTAGAGCTGTCACAACGTACACCTGTGACGTCATGATCACCGAAACCTAAATTCAAGAACGCCGCAACGCTGTATCTCATTCGATGATGATGATGACGACGACGATGACGATGAGTGTGTGTATTCGATTGTTCTGCGGTCTATAAAGAGACTGTTAGAGCTGTAGTGATTTGTAAGACTGGTGGTGACTTTGGGAATGCCTCCTTCGGTGATTAAATATGCCTCATTTGCCTTCTTCAATTCTGTCATTGTGAGTCAGATTTAATACAAGGCATTATCATCATTGATCTGGTACTGACACCAATACTACAATTTCTTTTAATTTAATCATGGTCTCAGTCACCCTCGTCATTACAGATCTTGTTGCAGTTATCACAGTCATCTCGATCATAATTCCATGCCATTCGTGTGGGAAGGAGCGAAGGTGTGACAAAGGAAAGTCAACGAGCGTGGGGCTTCGTTCACCCGAGATCCCGAGCAGCGAGTGTCGGAGAGTCTGTAATTGACCTCCTCAGCCGTGGCAGAGGGTCGAGGGGATTGACATTCTTCTGACGGCGGACTTTGAATGACCTTTGATATCTCCGTCTCTCTTTTTCTCCGTTTCTTTTCATCTGCGGGCGATGGCGAATCCCTCCCGGCCGAAGAGTTTATTGCGCGGGCAAAAAATAGAGTGATGGGGATGACAACGAGCAAGAGAATAAATAAAAGCCACAACTTTTCTTAGTCACGAAAAGATTCTTGTCATTCCTCGAAGTTTTTCCTCGTCATCTCGTGACAAAAAATGATTTATATTCGTACAAATGGTGGCGAGCTCCATTCATGTTTATGTTGCAGATCCCGGAGTTACGACTAAACCGAGAGACGCCATAAGTATGACGAAGGAGAGTGGATAGGAAAGCATACACAGCAGTGCAAACCGTATACCTATAATGATTGCTGTGCGTGCGTAGGGAATCCGCAGTTCCGCTCGCTTTACATCAACATATGTATAACTACCGAAGGTGTCCAGATGCCCTACTGCTTAGCAAGACGCTACAGCTTTTCTCTCTCCGCTGCGCCGCCCCTGATGCAAAAAGTAACGGCCCACGTGTACTCCCCTGTGGATCGGCCAGAGTTGGGGAGCCGTCTATCGCCTGGAGAGCTATGCTGATGGTTGCGGAAGGAGGGCAACCTTTCTACAAACACAATTAAAACAATAATATGCGGCCTCATACTTTTTTTTTTACGTTTTTTTCATGACAGTTGGCTTAATGGATTTCGGAAGTCGCTTTGGAATGAGGTTAGGGCTAAGAGGTTCGCTGTTTGATCGAGGCTTCGTGGGAGACGACTCGCGGCGCCGCTCAAGTGAGGATACTCGAACTGATTGAAGCTCGAGGATGGGATCTTCCGAGCGAATTTAGTGGCTCTTTAACTCTTCACGGCAGCTTTAAGGTCCTTCAGCCTGACCTCATATCCTGTAACAGCTAACGGTTTTCTCCGTCCGCCGGCCGGGGAAGCCTAAAGAACGTCCTGACGCAGGATCTTCGGACAATGTAGGGCAGCGCGACGCCCCTAGCGCCGAACAGGACCTGTACTACAGTTACCCCCTCCAGCAGACCACAGTACTCCACTGCGGCGGCGGGAGAGGACGGCCGGATAGCAGCGCTTGTTTATATTCTAGAAATTATGATTAAAGAACTGTGAAATACTGTATGAGTTTGTTTTTACGATTACAATAAGAACTATGATTATAGATATTTTTTGTATGGAACTCTCCATGAATTTGATAGTTTTCGTTTCTTAATGACAAAGGAGAAAAAGTTTGTCATTATCATTCTTACATCAGCATAAAGACAACAGAACTATCACAGGTTGCAAAGTAACTCATCTCACTACCCACAATTAATTGCTTCCTGTTCGTGAGGCCGGAGCGTGCCTAATAACCTATCCGGATAATAATAACCGAACGAAGATGAATGCCTTAACTCTCAACCAGGCTGTTCGGGAAGGCCCCCTCGGCTGCGCTCTGGACTTCCGTGTAAACAGCAACTCGAACACCCGACTCGCGTTGCTGCTGCCGAGGCGCTTGCTGACTTAGCGCAAGGAACAGTTAGCGAAGCGGCTCTCAAGCGTGACCATTCTGGGAGACGGACACTCATCTGCTGCCGTCATCAAGACCAGCGCCAAGGGGACCAAAGTTCGCTGTTCGGGCTCAAAGGCCGCGTTCGGTGCTGCGAATTGTTCATATTTATA